TTCTTTAAGTGCATTCCACGCTCTTTCGTAATTTTTATTAGTACAGTAGAGAACTATTTATCCGGTATCCAGATAACCGGGAAAAATTTTGATCGGTTTTTCCACCATTTTAAACTAGAACGATTATGAAAAAAAGTGGAAATTGAATTCATCCTTGAAGTTCAGTAGAGGAAAATGTAAGGAAGGGGGGAATTTATTTCCCCGTTTACCCAGAGAAACGTCATTTCCTCCGTGACCTTGAAGGGAGGAATGTTTTATTTTCTCCTTTAGGCCGTCAATCAAGCTCAAGGGTGTGGCATGCTGATTTCGTTTTCTGCTTGATTTACGAGGGAGGTGGGGAAAATGCATTACATGCATATCAGTGAACAGAAGATGAAAGAGAAAAATATATTTATCTATTTGACATCGATTAATAAAAATAAGAACTTTTTCTTCTGAATAAATTCTCATTCTTTGGAAGTGCGGTATCATTTGCAAGTTTTTATTCCTGTGGAATCACATCTAGTGTAATTAAATATTGTGTTTTTATCAACAAAAAAAAAATTAAAAGGAGAATTGTTTATTAATTTAAACATAGGTTTATTTTATGAAGCAGATTGCAGTTTTGTTTTTCTGATTCCACTACGTTTGATATTTTTTTCGTTTCTCGTCATTTCGCACTCAATAAATTAATTCTTTTTATTCATAAATTTTCTCATTAGGTTTTTTTTTAAAAATTTTGTTGATCTTGCCTTGTTCCGTGTTTTAATAGTTATGCTAGTGCCTTTTATAACTATCGTTTCGGTTTGATAATTTTCAAGTGCTTTTATTTAGATTAATAAGTTTTCCTTTTATTTTATCGTTTCCCCCGTATAATTAGGTATGAAATATATTGCGTTATTTAACCATTGGTTTTGTTTATATTAGTTAATTTAGGAATTGTAATTATTTTTAAAAAATAAATACGAGAATTTTGTATTTTTTAAACTTGTTTTACTTTCTAAACTTGCTAATTTTTTTTATTCTTTTAAATGTTGTATTTCTACCATTTTTTTTTCTTTTTGAAGTTAGGAGTACCTTTCTTTTTTCTCTTACTTTATGCATTACACTTTTTCCTTGTAATTCGGGTTGGATAAAACATCAATTAACGACACTTTTTGGTCGATCCAGAAAACCGGGAAACTCAGACATCCGGGATAGCGATGGTCCCGAGCATCCCGGAGCATTATATGACAGAATGACTTGTTTTGTCAATTATTTGCTCATATTTCACCTTAAGGTGCTCATTTTCATACTTTTTATTTCAAAGGTATTCAAAATTGTTTTTTACCCTAAAATGAGAGGTTTTTCAAAACAAAACACATAATTTTTTAGTGTTTTTGATTTTTAAAAGTTGTTATTTTTAAAAATTTTATGTCGTTTTTCGATGTTAAAATTGACAAAAAGGGCCTGAAATGATTGTGAATAAGTAGTATATAGGGGGGTCCTGTAGCCCACCCTATATACTACTTATATATATATATATATATATNTTTAAAAACTTGGTACATTAATTTTTATTTAATTTTTCTGCTTTTAGAATGAGCTCTGATTTTTTTTAAGGTAGGAACTACTAACTATGATAAACTGTTCCTAAAGCCACTGGACGGAATAGTTTGGATGTATGACCTTTTATACTGGATTAGTTAAATATCTTTTAAGTTACTTCTTAATAATTTGTAGCCTCTTAAAATTAATTTAATTATTTTAATTGTCCAGTATAATAAACTGTTTAATGTTTAATTAATTTGTTTATTTTTTATTATTATTATTTTTGTATAAATGGAATGGGCTCTAGTTCATAAAGGACCACCCCAAATGAATGCAGGTGATATGTGTATACTTTAAAATTATGTAAGGTTGTATGAATGAAGGATAAAGCCTATAAACAGCTTTCTATCCATATGTACAGGCTCTGACTTTTAAATAAGTCACCCTATGAAAGATGGAAATGTGTATACTGTAAAATTATGTAAGGATGTATGAATGAAGGATGAAGTCTATAAACGGCTTTCTATCCATTTGTACAGGCTCTGACTTTTAAATAAGTTACCCTATGAGTGATGGAATGAAAATGAATGATTTTTTCCTTTTTAGTCTGCTAATTAAATTAATCCGTTAAGCAATTTTTTTATTATTATAAATTTAATAATATTTTCTCGATTTTTAGGTTTTATTAATTTCCGAATAATACATTTTTACTAATTTTTCTCATAGATGGCAGCACTAATATTTTACTTTAAAAATTTTTTTTCTTCAATCAAATATATATTTTTTAATTTTATTTTATTCGATTCAAGCTATAAGCATAACTTCAAATATTTTACCTCTTTGCGAATTTTGTTAACTGTTTAATTATTGTACTTTTAAACCTAAACCGCATTTTACTACACGCCGGTAAGTTTGATTACTTTTCACAAGTGGGGAAAAATAAATTATTTTTGAAAAATAATTTGGCGACAATGAGGAAATATTTAAATAAGGTGTTTAATATTTAAATGCGGTTAACTTACGAGGTAGCGTTATATTTTTTCCACTAATAACAGATTGCTAATTTTTTTTTTTTAATATTATAAAATGTGAAGATCTTTTTTATTCATCTAAAAATGTATTCGTAATTTAGTAACGAAATTTGAATAAAGCGTTTTATTGAATAAAACATTTTATTAAATAAAAGACCTTTTATTCAATGAATATCGAGTTATATAAAAGCATGTTTCCGATAGAATAAGATTATACATCAGATTGTGATTATATTTTATGTGATATTTAATTTTTTACTTTGTTTTATAATAATTGATATAATTTCAGTAATATGCACGCGTATGCATAGTTTTGGAATTATATATTTATCAGTATCTTCCAAATATATTTTACTAACTATTTAATTAAATTTCAACATAAATTTTATTCTTTACGCTACTACGTATAAAATTCTGTCATTAATTTACTAATCAATTTTTTTAGTACTTTAGTTTAGGTTTTCGTTTAAAGTAAAATTCCCTTTTTAAATTATTGTCAAGTTTTTATTAAAAGAAAACTTAGAATTATTGCCTGCCAGCTGAGAATAAAATATTGTTATGAAATTAAAAACATTCTGTTATTTAAAATTTTACGAGGCAAAACAGCTAACTATTTACTAAGCGTACAATTTTACGGTGATTATTGTTTCTTATGATTCAAACATAGATGATCTAAAATAGTGATGTTTTATAAATCACTACAAGGAGTATAAAGATGCCGAATGTAAGATACCGAGAGGATAAAGATACTGTTGAATACGACGTAGCCAAAATTTTTAAGCGTCTTGAAATATCTCGGTATCTTATAAGTCCTCCTAGCATCTTGATTTTTAAATTAAATTTTTTATTACCTGGCCACGTGTTGATTTACAGAACTATTCAAGTAATTATTTTATTGTATTTTTCATTCTTTCTTTATGCCAACACGTAGATTTTTTCTTATAATATACCAAACTATTTTGTTTAATTTTTATTGGTACTTTAAGTTTTGCTTTAAATTAGCACTCATTATAAGTAATTGCTAAGTTTTTTTTTATCAAGTCTCAGAACTATAGCCAGTTAGCTGATAAGATGATGCAAAACGTTTGACTGATCATTGTAAATTAGTGTATCCTTTTCTTTAAGATTGAACAAACAAAATTATTTTGTTTGTTCAATCTTTGTTTCTTATTTGTCTGGTTTGAGAAAAGTAAATACACATTTGTGCAACTCAAAAGACCACAACTGTTTCCTTTGTTTTATAAATGAACAAAATAGCAATTTTATTTTGGACGTTTAAATTTATATACTACACCGTTAATTTTAAAAAAACAACCCATTTTAAAAAAGATGTTGAAAAAATTTACTTTTGTTAAAATTTTGTTTTGTTATTACGTATACTTGCATATCTGTTAATTTTTTTCAAGATACATTTCTTCATTGTTAACAAGATATAAGTACAAATTTACGTGGTACGAAATGTGGAGGAATAGAGAAAATTCTTATGAATCCCTCGAATACATTGATGTAGGTAGTTATTGAGACCACACTGTTTTATCCAGCTGTAGCGGAGGCAATCAAAATTGGCTTAAATAGTTGATTAAATAGTTTGTGCATGAGAGATTAAATAGAGATTAAATAGTTAGGGTAATGAGAGATAGAGTAAATGAGAAATTAAATAGTTTGTGCATGCTCAGTGTGCATAAGAAAAGAATCAAAGATGACTTAGAATTCATTGAAAAAGTTATAAACAGATTTAGGACAGCTAACAAGGCTATTACAATTCTTGTTTGATTAAACATTTTTTTAATTGTTATGTATCAATAATTACTTAATTATTTGATTTTGAATGAAAATATTTTTAATAAAAAAAAGTTTATACTCTTCAATTGTTTAAAAAAAAGCTAGGGGGGTGCAAGTGCACCCCCTTGCACCCTGCTACCGGCACCCTTGGATATAGGCCTTATTTTGTTAAACAGCAAATACTAAAAAGTGAAACTTGTAAAAAGATTCCGAATCCATGCCAATTTTAGAATCATCATCTGATTTGAAAAATGTTATAAAAATACGCAATTTTCAAATTTACTTTGATTTAAAAAAAGAATTAAAAAAAAACAAAACGAGAAGGTTAACATACTTTTTACCCAAACTGTTTCTTATATATTCTTATATTACTCAAAAATTTTCTTATATTTCGTCATAAGAAGATAAGAATGATATTTCTCCGAAAAATCTACTAAAAATAATACATTATTTCCGGAATCGAAATCTGTTTTAACGAAACATATTATTCCTTGAAAGCTAAAACGAAAAAAAGTTTTACTATAATTATTTAAGTTTATTACATTAATTTAATAATAGCGGGATCAAGGTTAAGGATATGCGATAGAAGTCCCGTTAATTATTATACTATAAATGCATTTAATCATATAGCTTGAATAATTTATTTTAAGCTAATTATTTAATAATATCTATTTATAGTGCTATTCTATTTATGGATCAGTACTATAATCTTTGAATTTGACTCAGGGGACCATTCAGGAGTTATGTATTTTCATGTGGGTCATTAGAGCAGTCAAGCATCACAAAGCTTCATCACCCTAGCGTCCCATCTCCTTTTATTTATTTACTTTAATAAAGATACAAATTGAGATTTTTAAAAGTAAGATTTTTTACCTAAGGGATCATCCACTAATTGCATAAATTTTTTGAAACTTTTATTGTACTTTATTATTATTTTTTTAACTTATCGCTTTTTATTATTGTATCACTACTTTTAAAATTCTCTTAATTTGTTTTTTAAAAAAATTTATTAATATTTAGAGGTAAGATTTTAAAAGTAGGAAATTAGGGGTTTTCAATATTTTAAATACAGCAAAAAATCTAATGTTATTCACATTAGTCTTTCCAAAAAACTTTAATTCATCTCTTAGTTATTTGATTTAAAAACAATTGAATTAAAGAATTCAATTATCTCATATTGGTTAAATATTATGAGTACAGGGACCATATAATAATTTACTTCTGACAAAAATGTTTTGCTTCAATACTCATTTCAAAATTATTTAAACTTTGTTTTTAACATTTCACCCAAGAAATACTGAACCAAGTAATTTATTAGGGGCCATTCACTAATTTACATTTGTAATATAAATTTTGCTTAATTCTTTACATACCTATATAAATTTGTCATGATCAATATTTATTTTCGTAATGTTTTGTTAAATATGCTCTTATAAATAACTTTTATCTAAAAATGTACATTCTATAACGTTTTTAAATAATGGTTAAATTAATTAGAATTTTAAATTGAATTTTCTTTTACATAATTAAAGCAATTATTATCAAAAAAAATAGAATACGCTGGCTGATCCAAGTGGTCACTCACCCGCTTACTGGCCACAGCCTGTGATGTGTGATTTTGGTCTTCTACTAGGACTACCGAACTGTATCTACTGGGAACCGACTTTATGATCAGTCCAGTGTGGAACAAATGTAATCAAGAAAAGGGTTCTTTGTCAAAAACTTGTTATTTTATCATGATCATGTAAAATCTTTGAAAATTATTTTGCATTTTGTTAATTATAAAAAAAAGCTTTCAACAATAGGAAGAAAATGTTTTGATTACTGCAAATATCCTAATTATAATATTTTTTTTGAAGTGCCTATAGATATGTTTTGAGTGCTTAAAAAGTGAATTTTTTTTGAAAAATTTTGCTATGCAACATGCAAAGAAATATAACAGCGTGATTGCACTACTTTTATGCAGCTCCTTGGGTGAACACGATTCTTTTGCAATTTGATTTGCAGTCCTTCATATAGTCCTAACCTTGCACCATCAGATTATCTTTTATTTCAGAGTTTACAAAATTTTTTTAATGGTAATTATTTCCTTAGTAATAATGATTTTAAAACATACTTAAGTTTTTTGCTAGTAAGGACCAGAGGTTACCAGAAAGATCAAAAGCACACCAAACAAAATGGAAGATAATTGACAGATTAAAGTTCATTTTTTGTGTAGAAAAAGATAAGGTTTATGTCAGACTAACAATCCGAAATTCCTTTCTTGCCAACCCCTTCAAATCATTTTAAAATATTTGTATTTAAACCATCGCTGCGCTGCAGTCTATCTTTACAGCTATCTTTTCAACTAGACACCAAGAATTATTAAAACTGCTTTACTTTTTTAAAATTGAGTTGTATGCTTTTAAAGACAGTAAATATGACATTCTTAAATGGTAGATTTGCCTTTTATTAATTTATTTCTATCAAAAAGTTATCTAACAATTCAAATGTCAACCAAAAAAGAGTATATTTTTAGTTTCTATGAATGTTTCTCAATTGTTTTAGGTGTATCATGCCAGTTATTAACATCAATGAGCCCCGATGGGATCAAAATACTTACTGGGGAAGAGCCAAACATTTTTTCACCACTACTAACCCCTGCAATTTGCTATATTCTTCCTCAGAATTAGACAAGGCAAAGGAAATTGTTACCAAATATAGGTTTGTATATTCTTTCATTCCTTCTATGCTCTTTTAAACTGCCTCCCACTTTGCAAAGTTAAAAATTGTCCTTTGTAATTATCTTTCTGATAACTGTTTAAGTCTTTTCATATATAGACGGAAATATCTATTCATTCTAGAAACTTTTTAATTTAAATCAAAAGTTATCAAAATTATTGTTTACAAAATATTCCGTAAATTTAATAAAATAAAATTTTACATTATAAAATCATGATACATCTAATTTAAGACACCGTTAAACCTATTTTTGTAAAAGCTAGTCCTTACTTAGATGAAATTCTGCACCAAATTTTTTTTATCATAATTGTAATTATTAAAACATGTAATTGTTTTATTTATAATTTAATGATTATTTTATAAATTACTGTTTGAAATCAAAGGAGAATAATTAATCCAGTTCGTTCTTGGGCTGCATCTTCCAGATGCTGGGTGCATTGGAAATAAAATAAATCATAGTCCTTTTAAACACAAAAAAACTTTTATTCAGCAAAATGAACAATTCCAAAATCAGGGATTACTTCTCTGGACTTAAAACATTCAATAACGAAAGTCTGACATCAAGAACCAAGATCCACAGTGCCAGCTCTTTCATCACTTCATTTCGCAACATTCTCCCCCCTTGAGACTCAGAATGAGTCTCAAGCTCATAAAAACATTATTATTAAACAGATCAAGTCTTTTGGGAGTTCTTACACAACTTCCAGAGGAAGTATATCGTTGCATTATTGCCTTATCAGATGCTGGGTCGTCTTCAATTTTACATTCAGGGCCAGAATTAGATTTCTCTACATCAACTTTCTTATCCGCAATAATGCTCTTTTTATCCACCTGAATTTCTAGTGAGAAGATATGTTGTATTGGACGTAAAATTATGCCAGACTGGGTCTTAAGTTTAACAGTGTGAATCTTCCCATCACATTCTGGAATCAACTCAATAATTTTAGCCAAGGACCAAAAATGGAAGTTTCTTATTATCTCCTATCAAGACTTTTTCTCCTACACTAGGCTCACAAGATCATTTTTCATTATGTTTCTGCTCCAGCTGTCCAAGATATTTCTTCCTAAAGCACTGTTGTAGGTCATTTAATAAACTTAATTAAATGTAATTCATCACTCTACATTGGAACTCTGGTTCTCGATAAGAAACATGGCAAGAGTGAGAGGGATCAACTCCTATGGATCTTCTGATACATAACAGGGTTGCCACTCCACAGGGAGAACGGAAAACCTGGAAAATTCAGGGAATTTAAAAATCACTTAAAATAACAGGGATATTGCAGGGAATTTTGTGTTTTTCCTTGCAGACTGGGAAATAAGGGTAATTTCCCAGTCTGTATACAGGGTTAAATGTCTCACTGTTTAACATAAAGAATTCCATTTTAAAATTATTTAAAAGAAATGTTAAGTATGTTTGTTCTGTCATTCCCCCCCTTTTTTTTTTGATTTGCTCTCAAATAGTGTGTATGTTTATATATGCTAATAAATTGTATCATAATTGCTCATATATGAGTTAAAATAATAAAATAGACTTGTAATACCTATATTTACCAAGTTGTCTTCTACAATAAAGGTCCTCTTTACTGTCAATGAGGTCTTCTTTATTGTCAACTACAATAAAGAGGACCTCAGCTATCCTTTAGTTAAAATGCACTTGCTATTTCATCAGAAATAGCTTCTATACTTATCAAAAAAATACATATTTTTTGTTAATATTATAATAAAAAACTATGATTAACAGAATGGACATACAAATCTCGATTGTAACCTCTGCTCTTATTGGAAATGCATGATTATTCAAATGCATGATTCAAATATAACTGGTAAATTTCTGTCAAAAAATAAATAAAGGTAATTTTTTTTATTTTAAACTTTTCAAAAGAAAAATCTTTCTGCAAGAACTCTGTAATGTTCAGGGAAAATGTTGCTGTGTCTCTGCAAATCTGCCACGGAGCTCTGAATCTTCTCATTTATTGATATTAAACTTAAAAATTGAGTAAAGAAAGAGTTGAAGCATTTAAATAGCTGAAAAAAAATACAAAAGCAAATAACTTTTATATAGTTATTTAAAGTTGCTTTTTGTCTTCCTCAAAGTAAGTGTAACATAAAAAACCTAAACAAGAATTTCAAATTGATTAAAGTAAAAAAAAATTAAACAAATAAAATAATTAATAAGATTCTGAAATCACTGACGTTTAAAAGATAATTCGCTCTAGAAAGGATGTTCTTTCCTTAATTATTTCAAAGAACACAATCAAAACATTTTATATTTTAATAAAATACGACTAAGATTGGATATTTTGTTACAAATTCAGATATTCAGAACGCAGTGAAATTAGGGGGAATCCATTTTTAAAATTAAAATGTTTCAGTTACCTAAATCCGCAATTTTTAGAAAAATAATAGTTAAGATCATGACAAATTTTGTTCAATAATGAAATCCATGACTTTCTAGATGTGCAGATACCCTATATGTAGCCTAATAAATACATATATGTACCCAAATAATAGTATCAGAAGAGATACCCTATTCTTTGGCATGAGCATATGGGAGAAACATTGAACAAGTTCATCATATTTCAAGTCTTTCAGACATTTTTTTAATCCGAGAGGAGCAGACAAATTGTCATAGTGCACAGAACCAATAAAAGTAAACAAGATCTTTGGGAATATCAGAATTGAATAATGTGATATAATTTAATAGTTAACAAACTTCAGTTTATGTAAGTTAAAAACCCTTCTGAAATTATGAATTACTTGATTAATGAGCTACTCGGTTCAGTAAGTAAGATGTAGACATATTAAATTTTCATGATTCAATTCTTTTTTTTTTGTAATTTAAATATTATATATTAATTAGATACATTAAGCATAATATTAAATAATGATTAAACATATATATATATACAGTGTAACGTCCCATATNCCCTTCTTGCTTGAAACGTTCTAGTTCAAAATGGCGGAGAGAGCAATTAATATTTTCATAACTGTAATTTTTTTTAGTTTCCTATATTTATTTTTAGAATAGCAATAATTATTTTTTTTTAAATATTTTGTTTTTGATTGATTAGATATCATTCTAATACTAAAACATTATTGCCTGAAAAATAATGCTATTTAATTTCTGCTACTTAGATTCAGATCACTTTAATCTCTGTTTACCTTGGGGGTCTATTATACGGAAAAATCGATTATCCGGACTTCGGAATGTCCCACCGATTCCGGATACGCGACTTTCCACTGTATATATATATATATTTACTGCAAACTTGTACGGTTGAGAAAAAAACTTCTTACTAGCAGCAACATTAGATATCTTATTAAATCTTCAGTAGACATATTAAATCAATCTAGTAGACATATAAAAACATTTCAATCTACCACGACAAATTAATAATTAAAAAATATGCAAATATGATCCATTTGTTAGCTCACTTAGCTTTTAAATTTTTAATTAGTTCAAGTATTAAAAAATATTTTTCATCGAACGTACAAGTTGGCAGGTGTGAAAAAATATAAACGTAAGCATGTCAGAAGGCTTAACACCTATAAACATACTATAAAATTACGCCACTGTTTGTGAATATGAGAATTGAATAATGTGATATAATTAAATAGTTAAGTAGCCTGGACATGAAAAGGGAGGAAATCAATGTAATTCTTGCAATATATAATTATATATATTATAAACAGCACATACCTGCCAAGATCGGAGAATTCGCTCACTTCAACAAGATGCATTAATTCTCCTTCATCTTCAGCTGGCTTGAATTCACGGGCCCGCTAAATCGAAATAATTATCATTTCACTTACATTACGCGCTAAGACATGACTCTTATGAGACGAAATTAGATTTAAATATAAGACGACAAAAGATTAATAGACCGCAGGTGTAGCGGAAAATGATAAACAGCATCTTAGTGGATCACGGTTCCGAGTGATATATATCGTAGATTTCAGTATTTAGTGAAAACGATCGATGTCGTGGCAAAAACACGATTACAATATTGATATCAAATATTCTCCGAGTGTTGTTCGGATATCTCGAAATTTATATTTTAAATTTATTTTTTGGAATTATAACAATTTGACGTTATTTTTTGTCTTTTAAATGATTAATTTTGATTTCAGAGCACAATAAAGTTTAAAATGAAAAGTTTTACAAACAGACTTTTAATGTGAAATCGACGGGAATCGTACAATATCGTATACACAATGTCGATTTTCGCCAATATTGGCAATGTCGGTCGATGTAGACTAAAGCTGTTACAATATCCCTGTGCTACTTGGGGATGGAAGTCATTTTAGAAAGAAAAGTATATTTATATGTGTCTTTTAAATTGTTTAGTTTATAATAGTTTTTATATATTTCTGTTTTGATATAAAAATGTATATATGCTAATTTTTGGCTACTAAGTGCTCCCTAAAATATTCTTGAAAAATTTCTAACCTAAAATATTTTAAAATTTCACTGCACCTCCTGAATTCTGTCAAAGAGTGGTTTTTTTTTGTGTTATTTACATTTTCTTAAACTCTCATGATTTAATTACTGAATTTCTCTTTTAATTATTGAAATCTGTAGACCTTCCATTGTAACTGAATAGTTATATATTTTGAGATGAAATTTAAGCTCAAAATAAAATGGGTATTTTGCCTCTTGAATTACCAAAACTAAATAGATATTTCTTTTTAGAAAGGTTACACCATTATATTTTAAAAAATAAGAAAGTTAAAATTTACTTTGTGAAATTCTGGAACAGATACTATTCATTGGCATAAATGATAAATGCAATATATATGAAAACAGCAGAGTCCACAAAACAATTTTGGGGACTCTTATGATCAATCATATGCAGGTTTTTTAAAATCCTAGCAATAGTGAATGTATGTATAATTGTAGTACTCCTAGTATGCTATTAATGTTTTTATGGATCCTGAAAATTATCTTTATATTGTTATCAAACTGATTAATAGTCATTTTAGCTGAGATAAACTGAGTCAAAAAATAATTTTAGCTGAGACAAACTGAGCCAAAAAGAGATTTTAACTGAGACGAAATGCAATTTCTGGTGAGACAAATTGATATTTTGCGAGTAGCACGCCTGTTGTCGTTAAAATTGGAAATTCCCATGTTTGCAGATATCTTTTTGGCTTGTAGACTAATTTTAATGGTTGATACAGGGAGTCCTTTCTCGCGCTGTTCGAAAATCCACTTATCTAAAACATTTTCTAGCTCAGGTCAGCGGACAGTTCCACTTCTTCTTGCCCTTTTCATTATCGGCAGCTGTATAACTCATATGTCTTTTAGGAGACATATTGTAATATGAAAAAATATTAGCAAGTACTAAAAAGAAAACTTTCCGCAATTTAATTTCTCTACATTATGCAAAACGCGTAACAAAGTGAGAAAAAATGTGAAAGAGCTTTAAACCACGCAGTTTGACCAGAACTAGATAGAGACCCACTTTCTTTAAGGGATGGTGGGTTAGCAATAGTGGCACCATCTTTTGAAAAATGTAAAATGTATTTTTAAAATATCGTAAACGCCGCAATTAAAAATTTAAAACTTTTAAACTCGTAAACGCCGCGGGTTTCTTCCATAAGTTATGGTACTTAAACTATGTAATATAATATGCAAATTTCACATTATGAAATATATCAGTTAAATTGTTTATGAAACACTTAATATTTTTATTTTAATAAAAAGTAACCTTTTAAAAAACTTTTTTTTGAGAAATATTAAATTATTCAAATGTGGCAGTTAGATTGAAGCTCTTAGGAAATTTCGTAGTGTTTAAAATTTCATTTTTTTCTCCATACCCTTATACAGGTAAACTTACTTTCTAAAATTAATGTATCCTGTTGTATGAAAAAAATCTTTCTTGAACACGCAAAAAGGTATGAAAATGATATTTTTGTGAAATATATAAGTGTATGTCAAAAATATTCCTATTTTATTGTCAAATCTTGTAGAAATTAACATTAATATGGTAAATAAATTGTCTAATTCTGTTGAATGACTTATTTTGAGTGTCCTATAATTGACTGATGATATGAAAATTCAATAAAGAAAAACGCAAGAAGATAGAAATGTGTGAATTGCTGCAGTGTACTGTAGAAAATGAGGATTGAGATGCACAATGATCACTGAGTTTTAATAAGTGCTTCAATGGATGGCATTGTTGACTTTGGACAATCTATGAGACAGTTATTTTCTACCCCATCTTATAACATTCCATTTAAAATATTTTATTTGTATCTATACTGATTTTTGAATTTTATGACAAAACACGGTTCATTCCACAACGGGAATTGAATTTTCTTTCACAAATGCACTAGTATGAATTTGTTAGCAGATCTCATTATCTAGCCGAACTGGTTGAACATCTGTCCTGGTTTTCAAGTCATAGTAAAATGATCATGCTGAAATGCAATGAGTGAAAAAGGGATGTGAACAGTTTGTAGTAAACTCTGTCTATCACATAATGCTTATTTTGTTCTCAGATTGCATCTCAGTTTTACTGCTGGTATTTTTTTTAAAAAAAACCTTTCTATATATATATATTTTTTTTTTTGCAAGATGTTGGCAAAGGCTGTAGCAGGTTTAGCGTTACCCAGGGTGCACCACGAGAAGGTCTGCAGAAATCAAAAATTGGCTCCTAACTTGGATCGCCTCAAATGACGAGACATTTTTCGAGATGGAATTCGAAAATTACCGGAAAGGTGGGAAAAAGTAGTAGCCAGCGATGCTATACTACGCCCCAAATACGGGCTGACATGTTGGGGAGAGAAGCTTCAGCATTGCATCCACCTTCTCATCCAGTTTCTCTTAGAAATGCAAGATGGCTTGTTAAGAGCAAATTCAGACACAGAACAATATCTGCTCTCTGGGACTTAGCTGATGGAAAATCCTGGGCTAGCCTTCTTGATGGCCAGCAGCGCTCTCATCTTTCTCTCCTTCCCAGGGCCGAGGGAGTTGTTTGTCTTAGAATAATTACTGGACATGACTGCTTGCAGGCCCTTCTATTTAAAATTAACCTGGTCAATACCCCTCTTTGTGTGCTCTGTAACACTTCGCCTATGAGACTGAGGAGCATCTATTTGATTGCCCCTCTTTTCTTGATGTTCGTTGCAGTGACAACTTTCATGCCCTCTCACCTTCTGGAGCTACTTCACTAATGTATTCGACTGCAAGACGCCTTTTGCCTGAGTAGACGATGGCGGGCGTAAATTTTTAAAAAGTGATATTGAAATTTTTTTTTTCAGTCAGCAGCCATATTTTGACAATTTTAGTAACTAACTTTTAGATTTTGTTGAATGATCTTGTTTCCTAAGCAAAACAGAGCAAATCATATATTTCTCTATTTGTTTTTTTCCCATTGATTTTTTTCAGCTTTTTGAAGACTTAAAAATATTATTTTATATCATTGTGACGCCTAAATGTGGAAGAACAATTCCCTTTTTCACTCTTTTCTTGCAGTATATTTTTTATATTATTAAAAGTATTATTAAACATACCATTTAGCAAGTGAGTAAATTGTTTTGTATTTTATTAGAAATGGAGAATCTTTGAATCTCACTGAAGACGAAATTTGGCGTGCAAAGCATTTATATGATTCTGCTTTCCATCCTGATACTGGTGAGAAAATGATTTTAATTGGTCGAATGTCTGCTCAAGTTCCAATGAACATGACAATCACAGGATGTATGCTTGCATTTTATAAGTGAGATTTTGTTTTATCATTTAGTTTCTGTTTGATCATCAAATTTTTTATTTTCCACATACGTACACATCATTAAGGTAGTAACATAAACTTTTTTGAACAAGGTATTCTCAAAAGTTATGGTATTTAGCCATTTTTGTGATATGATTTTTAGGGTTGAAGGGTTTTTATGATATGATTTTTATCCCTAGAAATAGTATCTTGTTAAGAGGCTGAATAATGTAATTTCTTGGAAAAAAGTGAATAGTTTAAACTCTTAATAATATATTGTGTTTCAATGCTAATGAAAAATATGATGGATTGTATTCCTACCTTCTTGAGAAATTGATGCTAGTTTTGTAACTACCGTATCCGCAGATTTTACAATCCGCGGATTACCTGTCAAAAAAAGGGTTCTTTACAAGGTGCGGGCTATCGGCCAATGCGAGGTATCTGCCGAAACGTTTTCACCACAAGCCAATCTCAAAATTTATCTTACATTCTCGTTCGCGAGGAAAGCGGGAAGGGATTCCCACATGATTTGAGCTAAGAGAAGATAACAACACAATTGCTTATTTCCCATTATAAAAGATCCGAGAAAAGGGAGATTTCTGTAAAATCGTAATAACAAAGCAAAATCTAAAATACTTAAAGATAACTCTATAACTTTCCTAATCTACGCCCATTAAATACATTTAACTAAAATTGTCAAAATAATCTTTTAATTAAACTTATGTAGAGATAATATAAATCGCGAAAATGAAAAAAAGTTTATAAAAGTAAATAAAAAATTCTCTAAAATTAAGGAGAAATAAATTCTTCAAATTAGCAAAAGTAATAACCATTTTTTAAATAAACCATAAATCATTAAAGAATAAAAGTAAACTTAACTATTTTGAATTAAATAAAAGAAAAAATGATATGAATGATCATGAGGGAAGGGATTATTTAAGGAATTTGTAATCAAATATCTTAATAACATCTTCTAAAAGTTTTAATGATTAATTTCATTCGAAACAAAAATAAGAATTAAAAAAATGTAAACTTACATTAACATTTTGAAAAGCATCTTCCTTCAAGAAAAAAAATTAATTCAAGCCTAATAACAATTGTCGATTATATAGATGACTTCATTTTAAAAACGTTTCATTCACGATCAAAATAATCTTAATTTCCCTTATATCTCTAAGAATAAAAATAAAAGCTATTAAAGTTTTCAATAAAAAGAAGGAATAATCTTTTATTTTCTTAGTAAATGCTTTTTTTGGCAAAACAATATTTAAACTACAGCTGCCTTCAAAAATCAGCTTAAATTTTTTTTAAAATGTATATGTAAAATTTGATTAATTGTTGACAAAAACTTATTTTAAGATTTAAAAAAAATCTGAAAGGAGACGATTATGCAATTCCTGTGAAAGAAAACAAAACACGTGTATTGAAACCACTTCGAGTTGCCTCCGCCTCTTAAATAACTTACGCCTAGTGAGGAGATCAGGATTGAGAATAATAAAGATCTCATATTTCGTACTTTGCTGTCAACTTACCCCTCCCCCACTTGAATCCCCCTTTCTTTTATCACTTTTGACCTCATCCTCATGCTAAAGAAATCAGGTTTTTCAACTCCGTCTACATTCTTTTACACGTACAGTGAAAGAATGTATGTGCTTCGCTTGAGAAAAGGAAACTTCCCTTAGTTCAAGGCTGAATCTTACTGAATATGTCCCGCCTTTTTCGGCGCTGAAAGTGTAATGCTAAAAAGCAACATTGCGCATGCATCAGTAGAAACTTCTCTGCATCCCCCAAACGAGTTTCGGATATTTCTCACCTTACCTCTTTCACAATCAGCTAGTAGGATTTGATTAGGATTTTCGTTTGAGTTGTAAAAAATGGCAAGTAAAAAGCGTTTTAGTTATTGTTGTTAATTTACGTCGCATTAGAGCTGCACAATGGGCTATTGGCAACGGTCTGGGAAACATCCCGGAGGATGATCCGAAGACATGCCATCACAATTTTGATCCTCTGCGGAGGGGATGGCACCCCCGCTTTGGTAGCCCGAGGACCTGTGCGCGTGTTAGTTATACTGCTGAATTTAAATGAAAAGTTATAGATAAAGCAGAGAAGGATGGTAACTGTGCTGCGAGTAGATTTTTTTCGATAGACGAATCGAATATCAGGCTTTGGAGAAAGAGTAAAGAAAAATTTCAAGCTTCAAATAAAAAAAGACGGACCGAGAGAAGAGGAAAACCCTCATGGCCAGATTTGGAAAAGGACTTGGTCCGATGGATTTTGGAACAGAGAGAAAGGGGACTTCCCGTGTCCCCCATAAAAATATGGCTGCACGCTCGAGTGTTGGCGGAAGAAAAAAATATTGAGAATTTTACTGGTGGGCCATCCTGGTGCTACCGCTTCATGCGGCGGCACAACCTACGTGTGCGAGCTCGCACAACCGTCGGGCAAAGTTTGCCTGAAAACTGGAAGGAAGAAGTGTTGCTATTTCTGGAGTTCACCAGAAAACTTATAAATGAAAATAAGTTCACGGCTGGAGAAATAATTAACATGGATGAAACTCCAATGAGTTTTGACTGCCCACCAAGCCGTACCGTAGAACAATGTGGAAAGAATTTGGTTGCCATAGCAACTACAGGACATGAGGGGATATCTTTCACTTTGGTGTTAGCCTGCTCGGCAGCTGGTGAAAAGCTACCGCCTCTAATAATATTTAAGAGGGAAACTATGCCCAAGGAAGATTTTCCTAAAGGAATCTTCGTTGAAGTTAATGATAAAGGATGAATGAACTACAAAGTCATGACTTCGTGGTTGTCATCCATTTGGCGAAAAAGAAAGGGGGCCTTCTTTAAGCCAAGTGCTCTCTTGGTGATGGATTCCATGCAGGCGCATATAAGTGATGTAACCAAAAATCAGTGCAAACATTTCTTTGCTTCATTATCAACCATACCAGGTGACTTGACCAAAAAACTTCAGTCCCTGGTTGTGGGAATAAACAAATCATTTAAGTCAAAAGTTAGACGCTATTGGGAAGAGTGGATGGCTGCCACATTCAGTGTCAATAAAAAAGTTCGACGTGCTTATATAAAGAAGTGTGTCAATGGGTATTAAAGGCATGGAATGTCGTATCCGTTGATACTATAAAAAATGGATTAAAAAAAAAAAACTGGCATTATATCCCTCTGTCTAGGTTCCGAGGAACTTAAAAACAACGATATTGCATGTTTTGATGGCAATATTAGCGATACAGAGGACGAAAGCGATGCAGATGGAAATGTTTTGGACGCTAATTTTCTAGAATTGTTCAATTCTGATAGTGATGAGTCTGATTTTGAAGGATTTTAAATGCATTAAAATTATTTCTTTGATTAATAAATATTTTTTTTTATTTATGTTGTGTATATTTTAGTTATTTACCTATTAAACTGATTCTTTTTATTTTCATATATGTAACGTAGTTAATTAATGTTGCTGATTTTATTAATTTTGTTTTAATTTGCTCTTTTATTAATATATTTTGCAAAAGTTATGCATTGTTAATTCGCAAGCGGATTATAGGCCGCCGAATTTTCCTCCTTCCCGAAAATGAGGGGTGCGGATTATAGACCGCTACGGATAATGGGTCGGAAAATACGGTAGTTTTGTGCATAGTTTGTACTTTTTGAAATCTTGTTTTTTTTTTATTTTTTGAAAAATCTAAGCAGTAGCTAGTTACTAAGTTGAATTTGTTAATAATTTTAAGAAAAGTTTTTACTCATTTTTAATGCTTTGGTTTAGGCCTAGTATGGATATTTTTCTCCCCTTCCATCTCCTATGGATATTTTCCCCATTCATTTGCTAATGATTGCAAATGATTTGATGATGGTTGCTAATAATTAGCAAATGATTATCAAATCGTTTGCTAATTTTTTCTAAGTAAAAACAGTTAAGCTTCCCATGTCTTTCCTTAACATGTCACACTTTTAAACAAATCCAGGATATTTTTTTCATGCCACAGCTGAGATGTGGTTGGTTTACCATTTTATTTTATTTTATAACCGTTGAACAGCCTACCCAATTTTTCGGGTTTACGACTACTGATGTTCAACTCCGTAGCCTTGTAGTTTTGAACCCCATCGAGAAAGTGTGAATTATATTTTCATTCTGTCTATAGTGCCATAGTTTTAGAATTAAAAATGTGAATTTAATGTTAACCCATTTGTTTCTAGTATCCTTTTAAAAGAACGCTTGCATATTTAGCTGTAAATTTACTAAATTTTATTTTATTTTAATCCAAATAGCAAGATATCATGATAAAGTGTTCTCTTTATTATTGGGAGTACAAATTAGTTCAGTTCGTTTTCAAAAGATGACTCTGTCTGTTATGAATGTTTCATAGTAACAGCTGGTTTCGGTGGTTTCAAGGATGTTAGACACCTGTCAATAATATTCAGTTAATATCGCTTTGAGTTTCATACAAAAATCCCGTTTTTTTACTTTGTTGAATATGTCAAATTTTGTGGTAACTAAGCTGCATTTGTGGGAAGTTTTATGTTTCTGCTTTAATTGGAAGAATTGTGCAGCTGAAGCGCATGGAATGCTTGTAGAAGCTTATGGTGACAATGCTCCAACTGATAAATCATGTAGGTAATGGTTTCAATGTTTTCAAGAATGGTGAATGAAGAATGGTGTTTTATACTATGAGCTGCTACCACCTGGCAATTCCATTACGGGCGATCGGTATAGGCTGCAATTGATTCATTTGAGCCGTCCATTACAAGATAAGGGTCGGAAAATGAGCAAGGACATTGAAAAGTTATTCTTCCGCATGATAACGGTCGGCCTCATGTCGTAAAAAATTATTTGGAAATGCTCAAGTGGGATATTTTACCGCACCCGCCGTATTTGCTGGACATTGCTCCTCTCGATTACTGGTTGTTCTCATAGATGCAGCACGATTTGGCAGGTCACCGGTTCACTTCTTTTGCAGAAATCGAAAAGTGGCTCCTAACTTGGATCGCCTCAAAAGACGAGAC